TTTCGTTGCACTATAAATAAAAACGTCATTCTCATTACTTTTTTCGCGCACTGTACTTCTGAAGAATGAGACTGTGATATCTATTCATAAATGTAAATGAACAATAATCTTATCTTATTTTTCATAAGTTGAATATTTTACTTAAAAGTCTTCTCAATGTTAAACAGAATTTTAGTTTTGATAGTGCAAACGCTTTCTTCCTGACTTTCTCAATGTCTAATCGATTATGTATTGTACAAGATCATAATAAATACTATTTGTCTTGAGAAGACGAACGCCATGTTATAAATGCCACTGCCATTCCACACCACAATCACTTCTCCCATTACATGAACACAAGACAGTACCAGACTGTGACTTATAACAAACATAACAAATGAATACTATCAACCTACAATAATCGACAAATTACCCGAGGGGCGCAGCCCCCATTCTAGTTAATAAAAAGGAATAAGATCGATATTTTTTGTAAAAATTTCCTCATTGTTTGATAAATTATACATGTCATATAATAAGATTGTAGTATTGTAGAAACAGTAACATAAATAGCACCGAAAATGTCTGTTAATCGCCAACAATTACCCAAGTTAATCCCGAATCGTCTTCAAAGAAATTGGGCCATTTTTTTAATCCCTCAAAAATATAAACGACCAATAATCAACGAGTAGACTTTATCTAATTTCTGGCGGTCTGGGACAAGTTATATCGTTATCAAAATCATCGGCAAACCTTTCTTACTTCATTATACAGATACAGTATGTCTGCCTTATTATTATGACTCGTAAGTACGGACAGGAAAAAGAACCTCGCTTATTACTATTGATCGGCAAGGATTTATTTGACCTTCTTGCAAATCATTCCTTCGTGCTACCGAACTTGTAACGGCTGTTGTGAAAAACTTTACTACAGTCAACTCTCTCTAAATGCACACTCTCCTTAATATTAATAGTAATGAGAAGTTGGGTATCCAAGCAGCCGGATAGTGATCATCAGGGATAAAGTTACACAAGCTTGCATATAAAATCAGCGTAACTGTTTATAATAAGCGTCAAAGTGTTGGAATATATATAGTAAAGCCAAATGTGTGCCAATATAGAGAAAAAAAGATTTGGATAAAAACAAATTCTATATGTCGTATATTTTGCTCTCCAGAGAGGCTATCGTTAAGGTAGATTATCTGCCTCAGGATTACGCCGATAGCGGTCTGTTTAATACAACGCCAACGCCATAGCAAGTCCAACAGCGTGCCACTGTACTCTAACAACGGAGAGATTCTGAGTAAAATATCGATGATCAAATGATGCAAAATAAGCATGGAAAGAATAAGAAATATTATCTTGTTATGCGTATCTACCAATTTTATCGTTGCTTGTGTAATTGGCAGTGTTGAAATGCGTTACGTTGCCGAAATTAGAAGGACTATAATATACGTCATTATTAATACTAGTTCTCACAATGAAATCAAGCAGTATGAGAATGCATTAGAAATTGAACCGAATGACAAATTTTGCATCGAAGCAGTACGAAAATTTTTAGAGATTGATCCGAGTAATTGATGCTTAGGGGTGAGACATGTTGCGTAAAGGAGAACGTGTATGTTGATCTAGAAGAATACGACATTTTATTAAATAATCTCAACAAGTCGTTAGATCCAGGGTTGTGAACAAAAGCTATCACAAAACGATGAAGAAAAGAGCAACTTTATTGTTTCACAAAGTGAGGATGCACCCGCATCTAAATTAGATGATATACATTCGTTCCAAAAGACCAATCTTCGGCTAATATCAACGCCTCTTGTAGAACAAATTCTGATGTATGTCAGGAGTCTTTACCTCAGCCGGAGGCTGGCTCACGCCAATATACTAAAGTTCATCACGAAATATAGTTGATTTATTTAGGGTGGCAATGAAGATTAGACAAAAAGAGAGGTTATGCTGGTATTGTTATTATAAAGCATATGAGAATCGAGTCAGTGATATTAAGTCTGCGAATAATATTGATGACCAATCTGCAAGAACAATAGTGTATAATGAAATCAAATCACTTCTTCCTGATATTACCGATGTAAACTTGCGTAAAATGACTTCCAGAGCTAAAAAGTCTATATATTGTACGAAAATATTATAAGCGATTTTTCCAAGAAAAAAAGTGATCGGCGTGACAAATTGTCACGCGCATATTAACTCAAATAATATATCAGGCACTAAGGTAAGTATATCTCCTGTTTCCGTCAATTCAAAAACCAAGGTAAGTGTGGGATCTACGCCTAAAACTGAAAAGAAAGCGGCTTTTGGTTCAGAGGATCATTAAAACAAAATGATATTTGTCATTTATCTTCTCCTTGGAGAAGTCCTATAGCTAAACAGGAGTAAATTGGCATCTTTACCCAAAAAGACTTCACCTGAAAAACAAAATAATCCAGTTTATACCCGTGTAGGTTTTTGTGACAAAACACTGGAGCAGTATTCCAATCTATATTATGAATATAGCAATAAAGATATCGATAATTACTGCTGAGTCGTTATGTCCAATATGTAAGTTAGATCATGAGGATGGGGAAGGTGTAGAAGGCAATTACGAAATTGGATCATACTATATTAAATGTGAAGCATCCGAAACTGACATGATAATAATCCAGTATATCGATACAATAATTGTATGAGCTTTATTTATTTGTGCTTTTTTACTATGTAGTGCATTTTCTCGAAAGATAAAGATTGGACCTATATAATATATAATATATTTAATACATGAAGTGCACTTTCTCCAAAAGATGTTTTTTAGTGCCCTGGCTATATACTACGTTAATTACTTCGACTAAAGCTGATTCGATCTTTTTGTGGTCTACCATTTTGAATATTAATATTGTACTTTTTATTATATATTACTTAATATTAATCAGATCTTTTGTTTAAATAAAAAATATTTCTTTTATCCGTGTCTGGAAAATATACAGTGAACCCTCCATGCATGCACCCACGCCATGGCCCATTCCCGAGCTCGGGAATTAGGGAATTTTTCGTTTTCCACTATATGAGTTTCACCCTCTCTATATGCACGCCTGTGGATTTGCACAACAATAGTAATATCCTTGGTTCTCTACATACAATTACAGTCTTCAGCACAAAATTTAGTTCGTATATGTGTGACTCGGTCAATTTTCAAAATAAACGCGTAATCGATGGATCAAGAACTACCATTTCCAAACAGACTTATTTTCAACTTACTTCGCGTTTTACCCAAAACAAAAGTGTAAAATGTCGCAATCCGTTAACGAAAAACAACATTATATTATTGGGAGAAGGGACCTTAATCCTATTGGGAACATAGTTAAAACAAATGTGGAAAGGCGTAAACCAAAAAACTGTAAGGAGTTAGAACAGTTTATGACTGAAGAGTGGGACAATATTCACATACTGTCCTAATTAATTTAATAGATTCAATGAGAAAATTCGTTTGTGTTTGAACACCACTGTATATCAGCTTCAACATTATCACTGCCAACAAGATCTGTTTCTATAGTTCCCCGAATTTTATCTTTGAACTTCTTTCGCTTTATTTCCTGTATAGTTGAACCGAGGCTGAGACTGTCAGTTCCATATTCTTTACTGCTTTACAATTGAGGTGACGGTAGTCCTAAATACTTATCTTGTATAAAGCGTGTACCGGTCGACTTGAACAACTTGTGAGATGTAATTTTGATTTTTGCATTACAAAGATCTGACGGGTTTGCTACGCTTGTCAATTATAATTCCTTCTTGTTGCTCGATTCTCGATGTGCAGACATAAATCCCAGGAATCACCGTTGACAATTTATAAGAATTATGTGTTTGCTATCAACTCTTTTCAAATTCTTCAATAGAAAGTTCAATTAACATTAAACAGGCTCGTTTTCAATAGGAATGATATTATCGTCGAAACTAAATCAAAGATGAAACAAATTTACGATATGAAGTACGTTTATTAGGTGAATATTTATTGATAATGACTATGTGAAAGTTTCTCGTTACGAGAATATAGAATTTAGCTATCCAATTTATATCTTTTCCGAAACCGCACTTTCCTACCCCCTTCTATTATTATTAACAATGCTTGCTAGAGCGTGATACATTATTCAGCCTATACACAAACTTTGAGTGACGAGAACCTACTACTGAGTTTAAACATGGTCTTATTATCCAAGGATGGATACATGATATCGTAGCAAGATATCGTGAAATGATATATCGACTCCTGCCAAAACTGACAGGCAGAGATAATCGCCGGAAATAGCGAGTGTAACTAACAAAACACATAACAGTCATATAAAAAAATTAATATGAAAATCTACATTAAATCTATGGAACCAAAGAACCACAGCAGTTATTTCTTTCTGCAAGTGCTGCTCGCCAAAATGTATCATCCATTAACTACATAAATTTAAATTGCCAGTTTTAAGAAAATCTCACCTCAAAAATTAAAAAGTGCTCAACTTTAAACAGATATGGCTCTTTAGCAAATCATTTTGTGCAATGATAGGGCAGCTTTCCACTCAAGATTGAACGTGTCATCCTTGTGCAGGGGCCATGCTAATCTTCTCTGTGTATCTTACAAGTTTATAATCATTGCTGTCATATCATTATTGTTCTGACCCATTCTGGGATTTGACCCGTTTCGGGATTGTCACATTAGAATAATCTCTTGCACCAATGAACTACATAATCTATGTAATAACGTCGAAACAATCTTGACCCGTTCTCAGAATGGGTCAGAGCATTATCACAGAATGTATTATGGCTGAGACTGATAGATTGTATTTATTTTAAGACACGCTAAAATTGACCAAGTTTAACAATTGATTAATTGTTCATACTAATACCAGAGATCTCTGTTTTGTTAAGACCATTACGTATACAGCTCGCCAGGTAATAACGAAGATGTTTGCATTGCACTGTGTGACAGTAATTTGTCATATGATCGCAGATCTACTCTTAATGCTGACATAACCTTATGTTATTATTATGGATAACGACATTTCTTTTCCATTCTCTCTTCCTGGTATTAATAGCTCGTTCACAGCCGCTTCAGATCCTCGGACAAGTAGTCTTCCTGGACTGCCTGGAGAACTGTCTGAATTGTTGACTGAAAATTTGGGCGCTCAAGTTGGGGAGATAGCAACGGATACTACAGAAAAACCGAACGATGACGAACACATATTTCAAAGAAGCGAGTTCACCTTTTTACCACAAATTGCGCAAATACTCGAATTGATTGAATCTGGTAACGATAAACAGGAGATAAACAAACTGGTTTGTGATTTCTTAGGCAATTAGACTTCACGTTGCATTTTATTATTTCTATCAACAACATCCAACATTTCCTATAAAATGTAAACAAAGACGCTCAAGTTAAAAGAAAGTTTTCAGCGATGTCACCAAATATTAGAAGATCTTCCTGGTGCCGATTTGTCGCGTGAGGCCCAAGATGAGCTCCTTGCTGAAGAGAAGGATATTCTTCAACAGAAAAAGTAACTTTTATTTCTTTATCGTTTACTTGTCGACTCGCCGGCCTACTAAAATCATTTCTAATGATGTCGTATATCGTTGATTCCTTGTAAAGCAGAAACGAGCGACAGAGATATTTGCAATTACCAATAATGTTAAAGAGCGATATGCTTGATTCAAACCTTTCGTGACATTCATAGCGTTAAATTATTCGATTTATAATCATTTGGATTTCCACTTTCCCAATCAAAAATTAAAAAACGTGAACGCAGAACTCGAAAACTTGCCATACTTAGTTCTCTATGTGATATTGATAAACTTAAACGCCTATTGGTTTAACTTAGTATTAGTGGCTTGGTGATAATTTTTACTACTAAGCGACTACCTCGCCACTTCCAATTGTATCACAGACTGTACTTTGTCTCATGGACAAGAGATCTACTGCTTTAAAGGCCATAAAAGTTTCAACATCTAAGCGACGTATTTACAAACTAAAGTGTCCGGCTCGGCAATTACCAGCAATAAACGACCTAAGTATAGCAAAGAAGGAAATTCAAAGTTATGTTGCAAGAGCGAATGAACGGGAATCAAGCTATACTCTGCTTTCACAACAGTTAGATCCTCAGTTTGCTGGAGTAGGAAGGACAGGAAAGCACACAAAGGGTTTGAACAAAGCTAGAGATAAGAAGCTTTTAGGGTGAATGCTCTCAAATATGGTGTACTTTAAATGAGATACATAATATTCAAACATATGTTTAATAGTATGCGTCACACGTACGGAATCTGTCAAGATTGGCCATTTACAGTTTTATTTACTTGTAGGAATACTTCCCCGCTTCGAAAGAAAAAGCAGAGAGAAAAGAAGGAGGAAGAAGAAGATAGTGATTACTCTGAAAACGAGAAAAAACTACAGAGATCTGCTTCAAGACAAGGAACACCGAAACCCTTCCAGAGTATTTCCGTGAGTGTATAGGACTTTAGAGTCTGTTGTTGTAGTATATCCATATGATATTAATCTAATATGTTTACATATAAAAGGCAGCGAAGAATAACCCAACAACTTTTAAAAAACGTAAGCGAAGTACGGATGTTACTAACGATGATTCACCAAAGCTTCGGCAGAAGGAACAGACACCAATAGAACAATTTTACAAATATTGCGAGAGTTATTGGCGGCCATTTAAAGAAGAAGATAGAGCTTTCTTAGAGACCAAGGTCTGTAATACTACCTTCTATAGGATGCTCTTAACAAGAGGTTAACTGTTTGTTGTTATTGATGATAGTCGGACTCCAATGAGCTCTATATAATACCACCGCTTGGTAGACATTACCGAGAAGTATGGACCGCACTATTGCCACAAATTCCAAATGATAATGATGTTCGAAATGAAATAAGGAACCATGATGAACAAAATACTAGTGAACAATTATCCTCACAAGGACTAAACTGTAGACAATTAGTACAGCGATTAATGTCAACAATGGTATCAGATAAAGTGAATGTTGATCTCGAACACGTTATTCCATCAACCGAGAAAGAAATAAACGGACATTTATCTCCAGAAGGGAATGGTGACAATTTTGAGTGTTCAATTTCGGACAGTAGGCTTGAAGAGGAATTACGATATCTGGGTGTATTGAATAAAGATGAGAAGGTGAGAATTCTCAGCTATCAGTTTGTTTCAATTATTTTGGACTTCAATCTGACACAGTGCAAGAATGCAAACTCCACAAATGACATATCTTTATTTCAGATTGATTGGGAAGCCCGAGAGGATGACGCAATCTGTGCTGAACTGCGAAAAACGCAAGAAGATTGCCTGAAAGAAGACGCTCAGAACACCTATCGAAGACAGAATCTTATTAAAAGGTTCATAGCAGCAATGGCTTATCAACAATGTAGTGACTTCATGGAAGAACTCGATAATCAAGTCGAAGAATGTTTCGTTGCTCGATTTGTATGTGGTGTTTTACTTATTCGAAATGCATTGATTTTCGTATTACATTAGTATCACTAATATGTGCAACTGGGCGTGCATGTTTTTTAACTTAGGTTAAAGACAAAAAAATAAAAAAGAAGAGATTAGTTGTTACAACTGAAGACATAGCCCATAGTCTTGATCGACGGAAGAAATATAAAAAAGGTATTGAAGTATTGTTTGATCCGAGCGTAGGATCAATACCCAAGGAACCTGTATTTAATGATGAGGACATGGCGGAGTTTGTCAAGAAGATGAAAGAGGAGCATCGAAGACTGTAAACAATATCGCGGTTTTTCTATTTGTTCCGGGTTGCTTTTTCTTTTTTAATTATTCGATAATGTCTATAGAATAATTGGCATACTACTCCCAAAATATAATCATTTCTTCGCTGTCATATTTTCTATCTAATTTAGTTTGAACGGATTTATTTGTCTTGGTTTCCAAATTTTATATGATAAATATTCGATTTGTACATGCTCATTATATTTGTGATCAAGATCTTTGAAAGGACGATTATTGTTAGTAGGTAAATCAGACATTATGGAAAATCTCTAATGCTCATGCTTCAGATAGGCAAAGGATAAGTTCTATCTGCTGGGTTGTAGAACTTATCAGAAATCTATTGAGTGTCCAAATGAGTGCCATATAGGTATCATATCAGACACAGTGAACTAGTATAACTGCTATAGCTGTATAGCATGAGAACAAAACTATGTCAAAGCATTTCAAATAAAGGTATGACGTAGTGATCCAAAGTTGGATTGTTCTAACGCACTGGTACTAAATTTCTCTAATATTTTCAGATTCCAGAATAGTAGTACATAGGCACTTTCGATAAGTCGGATAAATTCGTCAGGGCGGAGATATTTCATAATTTTTTAAATAAAAAACCCCCCCTTTTATTTAAATATAAACAGCAATAATAATAATGTAAGCTTGCTTCAGAGAAGCATTTCGCTTTCTTCCAATTTACTTTTATATCAGAATTTGTTGTAAATATCGAATATATTTGAATGCTATCCAAAACAACCATATTGATAATGGTTTCTTCTTCTTTTTCTTTTCTTCTTTTTCTTTTCTTCAATAAAGCAAAATTATTGGATAATTAATTGTATATCCTAAATGGTAAAGATAGTCTCTCTAAATCACGTGTTCCGACTTGTCGATTTTTTTTTAAATTCGCGAGAGTGTCTATTACTATGTTAATTAATGTCTTACTGCGTGTTACAGAACTGAAATTCTGTTAAATAAAATAATATCATTACTCTACTTAATCTAAACATGTCCTTCAGTGGTGGAGGTGGACGGAAACTCAAACCACCCACGAATGCACGAGTGGCATTTCGAACAAACCCAAGTTATTGAGGTATCTTATTAAGAATGAGATCAAGGCTTCATCGTTAATAAGTGACGCAGTTTATACTTGCGGCTGCAACGTGCAAATTCCAGCTATCAAAGATGAGTGCAGTGGATCTAATGTGAGCAATATAACGTTTAATAGCGTGTCTTTACTTCGTAAATATTAACCAGAAAATAATTTTGTAACCAAAAAATTTGCTTTACGAAAACTGTTACTAGATATTAACATGGAATTGTAACGCACTCCTTTATTTATTTACATATGTGCCGGATCGCGGCGTAATTTTATGGATCAGCTTGAACTCATTTCTTGTTTATTGTAATGTCAAGAAACAGAATCTCTTTAACATCTCTGAGGAAATTGTAAAGTTAAACGAAAAAGTGTAATAATTGTTATGTACTATAGCTGTTCCCTTGAAATTGAATCCAATATGAATAAATAAAGTTAGTCTTTACTATGCATATCGTATCCCATATAGGTTCAAG